ACTCTATACAAATTAAAAATTTATATTTTATGAGAACTATTTAAAGCAAACTTTTAAATTTACTCGAATTATATATTTTAAATAAAATTATTATTAAAAAAATTACAAAATGATGTTTAATTTTACGGGACGAGGTTATATGGTGGGACGGATTTGAGTCGACATTAAAATGGGAAGGTATACAACGGGTGAAAAATCCTAGAATTAACAATTAAAATACAATCATACAATCTTAAACACTAAACAAAAAAAAAAAAATTTCACAAGACATATATAATTTAAAATTTAAAATTTTCATATGTTAATTCGAAATACACATTTTTTCCTTATATATAACAACATGCATATACAATATCGATTTTACTTATAATGGATAAACAAATATACACATAGTGTACTTTAATTTTATTTGCACAACATATATATATATATATATACACTGCAATTTTAAATATTTATTTGCTCAATAAAAATTTATAAACCCATTCTAATCTCATATATTCTTCACATATATATATTATGTAAACAAGAAAATAAATTCATATTTAAATACCCTATACATTAGTACGTAATGAACTATATAATTTTCTATATCTCTATATTTTCAAAAATGAAACCTAAAACATATTAATCCTACAATGTATAATATATATACGTTTAAAACAAACAAAATAATAGCATATATGTAAAAGAAAGGTCTTAAAAATCAATTTATATTTAATAAAAATATAGGTCCGCGGTGTACCGCGGGTTAATATTTTTTAAACCGTTAAACCGTACAAAATATTAAAATCCGTGCTGTATAGCACGGATGATGATCTAGTAGTTTGATAATAATCAGTTTCATGGACATGGACGTAAACATGAAATGTGTGTATGAAAGGGATCCTTAAAACGTTATAGTTACGTCATTTTCCACGTTCACTTTCACGAATACGAAAACGATCAAAATCACGTCAGTGACAATGCCTTTATTCACGTCAGTGATAGTTATCAATATGTTGTCATATTAATTTCAGAAAACGTTGTGGAACCTCTTGGAATAAGTGATAAAACGATCTTTATCAATGGCTCGTTATATTTTTTCTTAAAACGCACAAAAAAATAAGCTTACAATAGTTTATATAAATACATATTTGCTGACACTTTAATATTATTCAATATGTCGGCACCCACTTTGTACGAAATTTTGGATGTCAAATCTAGTGCGGTGATTTTAAAATCTTAGTGATAGAATTCCGGGTTAAAATATTCTTTGACACAACATGAGTTCAGATTATAGTTGGAGAGATCGATAGCGTCAAAATGTGTTTATTGATGTGTTCGAAAGTGAGTACGAAACTGTTGGATAATTCCAACTTACTTGAGGAGCAAGTAATTTCTTTTTAGAAGATGGTAGAAAGGAAAAATAAGAAAGGTAATTCAAGAAAGAAAATATAAATAATGTCAAATTGGATAAAGTTTGTAAAATTTTCTTATCATAATAGGATTAGGAAAAGTTTGGTTCTAGTATAAATAAGAGCTTTATGAAGAAGAAGAAAAATAGTTTGAAAGAAAGCTCAAGGAGCTCGAATAGCTCGGGGTGAGCTTGAATAGCTCGGGGTGAGCTTGAATAGCTCATAGAGCTCGAATAGCTCAGGGGAGCTCGAATAGCTCGGGGTGAACTCGAATAGAGAGTCTAGAAGAAAAAACTCATATAGACTTAGGGGTAGCTAATTTATATATAAGAAGATTCTTATGGAGAGTTGTTCCATAAGACCTAAGAGTGGACATTAGAGAGAGATCAAGGCTTTGGAGAGTTGTTCCAAAAGACCTAAAGAGAGATTTAGTTTTGAGTAGTTTCTAAATCAATAAAGAAAGTTTTTTTTAATCTCTTGTTCTCGTATTGCTGAATTAGTTTCTGAATCATCCAGCGACTAAGTCAGAATAAGGTGATCCTGATTTGAATTGGTATCATACCTTAGTTTGAAAACTCTGGACAAGACTGGTGGTACGTGACTCGTAAGAAAGTATGGCACGCCAAAATCCACAACCACAAACGAAAGACCTTGGAGCTCCATCAATCCATTGTCCGATGTTGACATTGACAAACTACACTGTTTGGGCGATGCGAATGAAGGTACATCTCCGAGTTAGTGAAGTATGGGATACGATCGATCCAAGATCTGCTGATCCAAAGAGGAACGACGTGGCGACGACGCTATTATTCCAATCGATCCCCAAAGCCCTAATACTTCAAATCAGAGAACAAAACACGGCGAAGAAGGTTTGGAAAGTCGTCAAGTCTAGACACCAGGGAGCAGACCGGGTGAACGAGACGAGGCTTCAAACCCTAGTGGCTGAGTTAGATCGGTTGAAGATGAGTGAGATCGATACGGTAGACGATTTTGTGGGGAAGGTTTCGGGCACCGCAGCTCAATCGGCATCTCTAGGAGATACGATCAATGAAACAAAACTTGTGAAGAAGTTTTTGACGGTACTTCCAAGAACCAAGTTCATTCATATTGTAGCATCCCTGGAGCAAGTTCTTGACCTAAACCAGACGGGGTTCGAAGACATTGTTGGGAGGTTAAAGGTATATGAAGAACGTGTTGGGGAAGAAACCCAAAGTGAAGATCAAGGAAAACTGATGTTTGAAAACTCAAACCCTAAGCATGGAGGTACGACAATAACAGAGGCAGTTATAACAGAGGAGGCTTTAACCGTTGTGGAAGATTCGGTGGTGACGGTTCCAGTAGAGGCAGGGGTCGAGGAAGGATCACCTGGCAAGCTCAAGGAGGAGAAACCGAAGATCAAAACCAGAAGTAGAAGGATCTGTCCAAAATTATTTTTTGGAGATGCAACAAGGAGGGTCATTATTCTTCAATATGTCCCGAGAAAGCAACGAAACGCAAGAAACTGAAGTTCTATATGTTCACAAAGAGGTTTTATTGAACAAAGATAAGATCATACCAAAGAACTTCGAAACCAGAGGAGTGGAAGATGAAGTTTAGTATCTAGATAATAGAGCTGAAGAACTTGCTGAAGGACTGACTGAAAGACATGCTAATGAAGCTATAAGGACATGGCATGCTCGGTTAGGTCATACAAGTTTTGGAGTTGATTCACAGAGAAGATGCTGGAGAAGGACATGAAAAAGATGATGTTATGGATGATATCACTCAAAACAACCACGAAGATGAGGTTGGTGAAGTAGTTCAAGGAGTACCACAGCTGACAAGGTCGGGTCGACAAGTGAATCAGCCGTGGTACCTTGAAGATTATGTAAGTATGTCCGAAAAAGTTTTCGAATTATTCCAGCAAGCTTATGGTGAAAGTGAGAGACTTCAACCTTAAGAGCCAAGATTTTATAAGTGGCAATAGGCATGCTTCAATGGAGAAAAGCATGTGAATAGTAGATTGAATCAATCAACAAGAACAAGACATGGTTCGTTGTTGACATATCGATTAAAGTTTTCGATCGGTACAAATGTTTAAAGAGTTTGTAAAGAAGCAAGCCAGCTTTTCTATCAAAACCTTTTGCACTGATAGAGGGGAAGAGTTTATGGAGTTCAATCGATTGTGCAAAGAGAGTGGAGTCTCTAGACAACTAATGAAGATTCTGAATGATATTTGGGGAGAAGTCGTACGTCTATCAAAGATCACGGGGCCAAATCTAAAGAAGTTAGATGTTGAGTCAAGAAGTGTGATCACGGGACCGCATCTAAAGAAGGTAGATGTGGAGTCAAGAAGTGTGTTTAATCTTGGAACCAAAACGGGTTCTAAAGAATATCGACTCTATGATCCACTTACGAGGAAGGTAATGGTCATGGTATTTGGGTTTTCTGTACTAGTCGTTGAAGTAGTACATGAAGTCATTCAAGGAGCAGAACAAGAAGTATATGCTCAAGAAATACTTGTCATGGAAGTAATACAGGAAGTAGTACAAGAAGTCATTCAAGGAGTAGAGCAAGAGGGATATGCTTAAAGAATACTTATGGATGCTAAGATGAAGTCAAATTTGAAGATCTCAAAAGCTGAGGAGGAGCAAGAGATCGGATCTAAACAAAGCTTGATGTTGAACATGTTCACAGTGTGGAGCAGAAGGGAGCTCGAATAGCTCGGGGTGAGCTCGAATAGCGCGGAGAGCTCGAATAGCCCAGGGGAGCTCGAATAGCTCGGGGTGAGCTCGAATAGAGAGTCTAGAGGAAGAGACTCATATAGACTTAAGGGTAGCTAAGTTCTATATAAGAAGAGGATTATTGAGAGTTGTTCTATAAGACTTAAGAGAGGACATTAGAGAGAGATAAAGGCTTTGGAGAGTTGCTCCAAAAGACCTAGAGAGGGATTTAGTTTTGAGTAGTTTCTAAATCAATAAAAAAAGTTTTTTTTTAATCTCTTGTTCTCGTATTGCTAAATTAATTTCTGAATCATTTATTACACTGATCCTGATTTGAGAAACAAAACTATATTATTATCTATGTTTTGTATGAAATTATTTATAAAATTTGATAAAATGTATTTTCTCTGTATAGAATAGTTTTTAATACATTTATCAAATACAAATTCTGTTAAAATAATATTAAAATTAGAAAAATATTTTATTTATCGGCTATTTTAATTGCAATGTTCCAGTCCAATTATAGAATTCTAGATATCTTTCTTAAGGTTTTTTTATTTTTTGGGCCAACGAATCTAGATGTCTATGTGGGTATGAATGCGCTGAGTTTAAGAAGTTAATGGAGTTTAATAGAGTAATATAGAAAGACTAGTGGAGTTACCATTAATGGAGTTTCAAAATTTATTTACCGTGAATCCAACAACCAACCATAAGAGGACCGAGTTAATCGACGTGTGCATATACTTTGATACTTATCTCCTTTACCACTTTGTATATAGTGTGACTAAAAAACTCCCTTCACTACTGATTAGTTTATTTAGTTTATTTGACTTTCTTTCAGTCTCTCCTCTCACGTTTTCTATAAATAGAGAGCATATTAGAGTAACATTTTATCCATCACTTCATATATTCACTTGTGTTTTCCATAAAAAGAGTGTTGTAAACAGTACTTGTAAGAAAATGGCTTCCAAGGCTTTAGTTCTGTTGGGTCTATTTGCAGCTCTTCTCGTCGTCTCAGAAGTCGCCGCTGCTGCATCCGGTACGTAAATATAATGTTGAAACCTTATTACACGTATCAGAATTTTTTTATGTTTTCTATAGAACGTATTTTATGTTGTTAATATTATTTTTAAATTAAAACTCGAGATTCGAATTTAATTACATTCGTATTTTTAAAAGTTTGTTTAAGAGAAAAAATAGTTTTGAAATTTGGGAGAGTAACATCTTTTGAAATTATGTGTTGTTTTGGATAGGTACAGTTAAGTCCGAGAGTGAGGAAACCGTGAAAACTGATCAATATGGTGGTGACCATGGCGGTCGTGGAGGCTACAACGGAGGAGGAGGCTACAACGGAGGAGGAGGTTACAATGGAGGAGGACACAACGGAGGAGGCTACAACAGAGGAGGAGGTTACAATGGAGGAGGCCGTGGAGGACACGGAGGTGGTTACTGCCGCTATGGCTGCTGCTACAGAGGTTACCATGGCTGTTCAAGGTGTTGTTCTTATGCCGGAGAAGCTGTTCAGACTCAGCCTGGTCACTAAACAATATAATAAGTTGACCACCATGCATGATGGTATCTAAATATACACTTATGTGCATATGACTATAGGTAACTTAATGATGGTGCGTTTGTAATGAAGTACGTTAAGAAGAGTAATGGGAATAAAGTTTAATAATGTAATGTTTATGTGTTTTGAGTTGTAATCTGCCATGTTTGCGTAATAAAATCTCTTCTGTGGTTTTACTATTATCTTAAGTTTTTGTGTAAGTTTTTATTTCATTATTCATACTCTTGGGGTCGAAAAAAAACAAATTGATGCAAACAAACCCTAGACAGTAGACACTCTACCGCGATTTTGCATTCAGCAACACTTCCAAAGTGAACTAATATGTATACGAAAGTACCATAAATAATCTCAAAATATTTGATGCGCCAAAAGATATTAGAAACTTATTTTGTTGGGTTACTTGAGTTTCAGAAATTTGACTCTCTTTGTATCACAATTATTCACAAGCTTGCACTGATTGATCGGTGTTTCGGTTTAAGAGAAAAAAGAAACTCAGACCGATTGGTCCACACAAGGGACTGATCAGTCCCCACAAACTATGACCAAGTAAAAGGAGAACTGGATCGTCGGTCTCCATCATGGATCGATCGACCTCCTCATGGATCAAAAATTTTCTTTTACGTCATGACCCCTTCTTTAAATCTGATTTCTTTAAATTTTTCGGGTTCATAAGATCTTAGGCTCTGTTTTCTTGTTATTGTTGGCTTAATGATGACATATCTCTCTGACTCTTTGACCTTCCCAGAGAATGGAAACCCTGATTTTGAGTGTTGATTTTTTCTTTGCATGAATAACAACGCAACTATGTATGCTACAAACATTCTTTATACTGGATGCTTGGGCATGCTCTCTTCAATACTTGACATTTACCTTTCCACATATATATTTTCTTATGTTGTAGTTTTTGTTTTGTTTTGAATGGAATATTAAGTTATATTAAAAAAAATAACTTTTTTACAACTAGTGCAACAATTTGTTAAAAACAATAAAACAGAATTACATTTTGATGTTCATGTTCTAAATTCAACAACAATGAAGTTTAGGATTGCTAATCCTATCACAAGAAATCGGATAATGAGAAGGGGGATGTGGAATCTAGCGGAGGTCCCAGTGATAATGTCGAAGTGGACTCCGTTTATTGAAGACAACTCGCCGGAGGTAACCTCGGTGCCTCTCTGGGTTCATCTAAAAAATGTTCCTATTGATATGTTTTCATGGAAGGGTTTAAGCTTTGCTACAAGTGCAGTTGGTGAACCAGATCGTCTGCATCCGGATACAGCACAATGTTTGGATTTCAAGGTAGCAAAGGTTTTTGTTAAGGCGGATCTTTCAAAGGAGCTGCCGAGATCAATGAATTTCAATCATAATGGTAAAAACACTTTGATTGAATACTCTTACCCGTGGTTGCCGCCTAGATGCTCGATTTGTCAAAAATGGGGACATCTACATACAGTATGTGGGGTAAAGACAAGTGAAAAAAGTGGTAGTAGTGAGCAGAGTTCTAAACGGATCAATGGAATGTCTCTGGAAAAAACACAGTTGGTGATTGTGGACACAGCTCCAAAGATTAAATCAGTGGGAGAAGAAAAAGTTTCTCAAAACAGCGACCCTAGTAAAGAAGGTAATGAAGCAGGATGGTCCATTGTTACACCGGGGAAAGCTGGGCGTAGTCCAAATGGGCTAACAAAGACGCTTGAATATGGTGAGGTTTCTATCTTATCAAACTCAAGATTTTCAGTTCTCGAAAATGAGGAAGAAGAAGCATTGGTACAAGAAGAATCATTGTTACCAGAGGAAGTTACTGAGGATTTGAAGGCTGTTAATACCCATATACAAGTTTCAGAGACTCAACAGGAGGTGAAAACAACTGATGATAATATTGATGATAGTCAGAAAGGGGAGGACGCGAAAGAGCCAACCCTACCGTTGCGACAAACTCTTCCTCGAGCCTCTAAGGCAAATCATAAAGTTGTTCATGATCAATCGACTCAAAAGGTTCATGATGCCAATCCTAGCATTTTGAATAAGACACGGAACACACGGAGGAATAATTAATGTCGGGTTTTTTTGGAATATCCGTGGATTCAACAAGTCAACAAAACGTTCAATAGTTCAGAGTTGGATCAATCAGCGTTCAATGCAGTTTGGGGGTCTAATGGAGACTCGAGTCAAGGAGAATAAAGCAGAGAGAATTTTTTCCAAGGTGTTTAAGGATTGGTCAGTCTTGTCAAATTATGATTTCAACAGATTGGGAAGAATATGGGTTGTATGGAGTCCAAACGTGAGACTCACACCGTGTTTCACAAGCGGGCAGATGATAACTTGTTCTGTTCTACTAGATGGTTCAGAGGAGGAGTTTTTTTGTTCATTTGTCTATGCATCAAATTTTGTTGAAGAAAGGAAGTTACTGTGGGAAGATCTAAAACATCATCAAAACTCTCCAATGTTTAGAGATAAACCTTGGATGATTTTTGGTGATTTTAATGAAATTCTTGATGTTGCAGAACATTCAAATTATGCAATATCCCCCTCTGTCACAGCAGGAATGAGAGACTTTCAAGATGCAATTAGATACTGCTCACTCTCAGACATGACATCTCATGGTCCAAGTTTTACATGGTGTAACAAAAGAGGTGAAGGATTAATCTGCAAGAAATTAGATCGGGTTATCGTCAATGATGCATGGCTTCTTTCTTACCCTCAATCACACTGTGTATTTGAGGCTGGAGGATGCTCTGACCATATGTGATGCCGTATTAAAATCAAAGATGTAGTCACCAAGCCACGACGCCCTTTCAAGTTTACTAATGCCTTATCAAAAGTATCGGGTTTCTTGCCGATGATACAAAGCTTTTGGGATGGAACCGACGAGCTTATCAATTCTACATCTGCATTGTTTCGCCTCTCAAAAAAACTTAAAGCTTTAAAGCCAAAGATCAGAGAACTTAGTAAAGAAAAGCTAGGAGATTTGCAGAAAAGAACTAAGAAAGCATATGAAGACTTGTGTGTATGTCAGGAAAAGACATTGTTGAACCCGTCCCAAGATTTAATGGTGATGGAATCACATGCGTTTACTAAGTGGCAGCACTTGTCGGAATTGGAAGAACGTTTTCTGCGGCAACGATCAAAATTGCATTGGTTACAAGTTGGAGATGGAAATAATCGCTATTTTCATCAAGCTGTAAAAAAAAGGGAGGTAAGAAACGCGATAAGAGCAATAAAGAGAGTAGATGGAACCATGGCTGAAACTCAAAACGAAATAAAATTGGAAGCTGAAAGTTTTTTTCATTCTTTCATGACACAATCTGGGTCAGATGGTAATGGTTTCACTGAAGAGGAATTAGTTGAATTATTGGGATTTTCTTGTGAAGAGGAGGATGGTGTAATGTTAACAAAAGAAGTGACGGAGGAAGAGATCAAGAAGACACTGTTTACCATGCCGGAAAATAAATCTCCGGGGCCGGATGGGTTTACTTGTGAATTCTTTAAAGAAGCTTGGGAAGTTGTGGGTAAGGATTTTGTAGTGGCTATTCAATCCTTTTTTGTAAAGGGCTTTCTTCCAAAGGGTTTGAATACAACGATATTGGCTCTCATCCCTAAGAAAACAGAAGCACAAGAGATGAAAGATTATCGTCCGATCTCCTGTTGTAATGTTATCTATAAGGTAATATCAAAAATACTGGCTAATCGATTGAAGCAGGTGTTGCCAAAGTTCATCTCTTCGAACCAGTCAGCGTTTATAAAAGACCGACTTTTGATGGAGAATGTCTTGCTAGCTTCGGAATTGGTGAAGAACTATCATAAAGACACAGTCTCGGCTCGTTGTGCAGTTAAAATAGACATCTCAAAGGCCTTTGATTTCGTTCAATGGCCATTCCTTCTGTCCACTTTAAAGGCGTTGGGTATTCCAGAAAAATTTATTCATTGGCTTCAGCTATGCATTACTACGGCATCATTCTCGGTACAGGTGAATGGAGAGTTGCCTGGTTTTTTCAGAAGTACAAGAGGGTTGCGACAGGGTTGCTCTTTGTCGCCATATCTATTTGTGGTTTGTATGCACGTCTTATCAAAAATGTTGGACAAGGCAGCCAGAGAGAGACGTATTGGATACCATCCTTATTGTCAGAATCTTGGTCTTACACACTTGTGCTTTGCTGATGACTTGTTAGTATTTTCAGATGGGAAAAAGCAGTCAATTGAGGGCATACTTCAAGTTTTTCAGAGTTTTGAGGCAGTTTCGGGATTGAAGATAAGCCTAGAAAAATCAACACTCTACATGGCTGGAGTTCTAGCAAGTACAAGAGCGGAAATCCTGGAGAAATTTCCATTTGATAGTGGCACTCTTCCCGTTAGGTATTTGGGATTGCCTCTACTAACGAAGCAAATGACATTGAATGACTATACACCTTTAATCGAGAAAATTCGATCACGAATAAGTTGTTGGACAGGGAGATATCTTTCTTTTGCTGGGCGCCTTCAACTCATTGGTTCAGTCATACATAGTCTTACTAACTTCTGGATCTCGGCTTTTCGCTTACCAAAAGCTTGCATTGAAGAGATTGACAAACTTTGTGCTGCGTTCCTATGGTCAGGACCAGAATTGAATGCGAAAAAAGCAAAGGTTGCTTGGAAAGATGTTTGTAAACCGAAGGACGAGGGAGGCTTGGGATTAAGATCGATTTCTGAGGCAAACAAGGTGAGTTGTTTGAAACTCCTTTGGAGAATTTTATCTGCTCACTCCTCACTTTGGGTCAATTGGGTTAGAATGTATTTGATTCGTAAAGGTTCCCTTTGGTTGGTTAATGAAAGCTCATCTCTTGGTTCATGGACATGGAAAAAGTTGTTGAAATATAGAGATCTGGCTGCATCATTGAATAGAATAGAAGTCTATAATGGTGCTTCTACTTCCTTCTGGTTCGATAACTGGTCACCTCTTGGTAGACTACTGGATATAACGGGACCAAGGGGCAGCAGAGACTTGGGGATACCTATCCTCTCAACAGTAGAAAGTGTGCTGGCCACACATAGACGTCGTACTCACAGAGTGGAATTTTTGAATGATATTGAAGCAGTGATAGAATCTCAGCGTCAAAGAGGTTCATCGGTTGAGGAGGATATGGTTTTATGGAAACAAAAAGGTGACAAATTCAGACCCAAATTCAGCTCAAAGGTAACATGGTAT